AATATTTCTGCTATAAATGGGATTAACATTAACACTAACTATAAGAAATAAATAAATAAAACTCACCTGGGCTATAGCCCAAGTTGTACAAGTCATAGGACCGTCCCTGACTGTATACCAACTAGCCTTTGCTATAATTTGATTGGAAAATATCTCATCTTCGGGTGAATGCGAGCACGATATATATTTGTGATGAGTTCGAATTATGACTGTAAAAAATTAATCGGTAATTAAATATATTATTATTAAATATCATGACTAATTTCGCTATATTATAAAGGATATCAGTCAACAGCTCAATATCTTACGAAAACAATAACTCAACCACTAACAAAGAAAAGTTTTTGGATAAAAAAGAAAAGAAAGGTTAGCAAAATAGGAGCCGCACATTTCTTTTGTCAATATCCGCCGGCTGCGAATCCTCCCATTAAGATAAGTCTTGTAAAAGTGAACGTGAAGAAGTTTACGTAAGAAAAGATCAAGGCATGCCTTCATTTTTCAACCCAAATGGCACCATTTCTTCAAATAAAAAATATATATATTTAAAAAGCAAACTAAATTGACGCTTAGGATTTTCCAAAGTCAATTTTGAGGGCTCAACATTTTGAGTAAATTGGCTTTTTTCTTTGGAGGGGGCGGCGGGGGGAAGAGCTGCTTAATTACCTGGAAATTGAGATGAAGAGCAATTTCTATGATGCTTTTTCTTGTGATCCCTGGAAGAATAGTTCCATTGGTCGGTGGAGTTAAAACCACATTACCCTACAACACATGATAATGTGATTGAGTTTATCATACTCATAATTTGAATCGTACAAAAATGAAATTCTTGTTTGGATGCGTAATTTAAATTGACAGTCTAACAACATAATATGTTGAAATGTCCGGAAATTGAACATTTGGTATAAGATAAGAGGCCAAGCTATGACAACTGTAATAAGTACTACCTTCACAATGAAAACACGACATGAAGAAACCTCCTCAACATTTTTCCCAGTGGCTGCCTCCAGAAATAGGACATCAGTGAACCCCTTGGCCTTAGCCTTGCTTACTGCTTCAAAAACCTATAGCAAATTGTAGCAAAAAAATCATTTAGGTAAAATCTTAACACATAATAAATAACAACGCCAAATAGATCTTCGAGCAGATCTCTGCCAGCCAATCCATTCTTATTATGCACGAGAGCTAATTTGCTTACAGGTGAATAGTTGGTGATGCTTTTAATCCCTCCTGTTCCACCAGGGAGCCCTCTGCTCACCTTGTACCAATTGCCAA